TTTTTTTTTTTTTTTTTTTTTTTTTTTTTTTTTTTTTTTTTTTGTGAACATGGAACCTAGATCGGCTTGAGTTGCTTGAATGTTCGATTTTTCTCCTTTTCTTTTTCTTTATGCTCTTAAGCTTTCATAGTGATGACATCCATTGAATATACGCACTCTTTTTTCTGACTGACAATTTCTGAGAAGAAAGAAAAATTACTAGATTTTCTGAAAGTTCTCAAAGCGAAAATAGTAATTTCTAATTGCATTGATGTTCAGTGGAGGTTTGTGGATAATTATCCATTACTTATGTTATTAAATAAATTGATATTGCATAACTATGAGTATCTGTTATAGATTTTGCAGGAAAATATTGTCCTCTGTTCTTTTTTTTCGTTTGTTTATAAATCTACAATGTATTTCGAGGATTTGTTTTTGTTTACACGAAACGTGGCTTTAATTTTTGTTTTAATGTAAAATAGTTACTGGAAAATGAAAATTCTGTTTACTTGTGGTCGCTGATTGAGCACAGGTTTTTGTATTGATTTACTGAGTAGCTATCGCCATTCAAGAGACCTGGTACCTTCCCCCTGACTAAAACCTCCCGTAGCTTCCACGACTCTGTTTTGTACTTCCCTCCCCTTAAAATATATAACTTGTTTTTACCAGAAAATGACCTATTTGTTTTCATCTCTCCCATATGTACACAAGTAACCCTACTTTGCTGATTCCATTGCAATTTTGTCTGTGGATGAAATGAAATGAACTGAAGGCTTGGCATTGTTCCTATAATTCCTCTAGAGCTAAATAGGCCATCATTGTCTTGGAGTGAAATTCACTTCACTTCAAATTAAGGTCCTCTTTTTATGTGACTGGGTCATAATTGTTTTCAGTAATCTCATTCAATAGTCATGCATGAAGTTGCAAGTTGTTCAGGATCTTGAAATCATTTTTTGGTCATCAAATTGAAGCACACTTATATTGTCAATTCGAGGGATCCAAATAAAGCTTTTGATGGTATTGAGGTCCGTGCTTATGAGACTAATTGAGATTTCTAATTTGCTTTATGCAGCTTGATATTGATATTGCAACTCATGTTCACGTGAAAGCTGATGGACCTAAAAGAAGGTTTTTTCTACTTGATTTAAAATAAGCTTCTGAAATTTTTTTTGCTTCCCATCTAATAACTGTTGTACATGCCAAATTCTACAATATAATTAAACAAAATTGCGGAGTCAATTGTTCAATATCAACTAACTTTTTTCATTTTCAATTTATATAGCCTACTATGTTTGGAGACAGCAGACCGACCTGGATTGCTGCTTGAAGTTATAAAAATTCTTGCTGATATCAACGTTGAGGTCGAATCGGCAGAGATAGATACCGAAGTATAGCCTTCCTTCCCATCGTCTTTTTCTCTCTTCTTTGACTTAGCATAACAATATTTCAACTTTGATCTCTAGGGATTGGTTGCCAAGGACAAGTTTCATGTCAGTTACGGGGGAGCTGCGCTCAATAGTTCCTTGTCTCAGGTACATACATAGTTCATTAAATTTAGTGCGTGTTTGGGCATATTCTGGGAGTAGTGTTTTTAAAGGTAACATAGCATTTTATTTTTAGGACATTTGGAAAAGAAATTAAGTGTTGGTACTATTTTAATTCACCATAAAATATTATAATTTCGATTTGTTTTTTTCTTTTGAGGCAAATTCTTATTTGTTCATCAACCGCCCATTTGTTTAGGCATTATGAAATTTCTACCACACTCTTCCTTCAAATCTATGAGGCTGAATGTAACAGCCCAAGTCCACTACCAGTAGATATTATCCTCTTTGGGCTTTCCCTTCTAGGCTTCCCCTCAAGGTTTTAAAACTTGTCTTCTAGGGAGAAGTTTCTACTCCCTCATAAGGAATGCTTTGTTCCCCCTCTCCAAGCGATGTAGGATCTCAAAATCCACCCCGCTTGAGGGCCCAACGTCCTCGCTGGCACACCGTCCAGTGTCTGGCTATGATACCATTTGTAATGGCCTAAGCCTATGGCTAGCAGATATTGTCCTCTTTGAGTTTTCCTTTCAGAGCTTCCCCTCAAGGTTTTAAAACACGTCTGCTAGAGAGAGGTTTCCACACCCTTATAAGGAATGCTTCGTTCCCCTCTCCAACTGATGTGGGATCTCACACACCCCAACCACCGATCACTGATTTAACCATTGGTCTTCCTGCCTACTATTTTTGGACTTAAATGCTACCTTAAGTTTAGTTTAGGAGCTGAAATACATAAATTTGAAAAGTTCAGAACCAAAATGAAACAAACCTACAGGATCATCGACTAAATTGCAATTTTAGAAACTAGAATAAAAAATATTAAGACTTTAACTTTAGTGGGCCATAAACAAGAATGTGGAGGGGTGAAGTGATATATAAATCTTGAGGCTTTAGGGACTTATGATCTGTAAGGCTGTTTAGGTTGTTCTCCTTTTTTGTTATTTATTTCATTATTTTCATTTTGAGTTCATTGTTTCTCTTTAATTAGGGGAAAGACTTCTGGTTCTAACGCATTTCACCATGTGTTTAATGTGTAGGTAGTGGTAAATTGTCTTCGTTACTACCTGCGAAGGCCCGAGACAGACATAGATAGTTACTAAGATCTCGAGGAACCATCATCACAATGTAAGCTTTGAAACTGTCATTGGATCCTTTGTTTGTGAGCTCTCTCATCATTTCTAAAATTTTCTATTTCGAAATTTCGAACTCTCAGATGCATTCTGGGATATGCCTTTGGTGAGAATAATGCCTAATTAACTCAAACCTTGTTCACGCTCAGACCATAAATTTACTTGTATAGAGTTGAAGAATCAGATGTTGTCTCACAACAATGCAAATCTTCCATGTCTGTTGTATCTGTTGAAAACCGAGCTTCGAGGTAACAAATCTCTTCGGGTTTAAATATGTTTTATTTTATGTTTTGAGTATAGTAATAACTTGCAGAGATTTTGCTTATATGTTTCTAACATTTATAAAAGGGACGTTAATAAAAACTGATTGGAGATTAATCTTAAGATTTTTTTTTTTTTTTTTTGAATTTACGAAGACTAAAACAAGAGTAAAGAGACTAAAATGGAATCAAAGACTTATAATTATTTTATTAGAGCCAGATTTCAATCTTAGGACCTATCAGTTATGGACCCACTAAGTTTCTGCTATCCATGATGTTGTTCTTAAATTAATGTTGATTAGATCTACATGACAGGGAAATGAAGGAAGAAAAACACTTGTTTGTAACTTTTGACCAATTCAATTTTGACAATGACTATACCGCTCGTTCTTGTTCGATCATGTTTAGACCAATCAATTTTCTTACGAAATCACGAGTTGATTTGATTGAGCTCGGTTCGTTTTATTGGTCTCCAACTTTTCTTTATCAGGAAGGTTCTCTAGATTCTTCATGTCACTGTAACTCTGCTCCTATGTTGGCTTTTCTGCCGCCCTATCCTTAAGCTCATATCTCTTCTGATTGATAAGGTCTCGCAAATCCGAGCCCAGGTTGGCTGCATTGGGCTTGCCGACATTTATGGTTGCAGGAAACTGCTGCACATGTGTTTACTTCAAGATACATTTAGGACTTCCTTATGTTGCACAATCCTTGTGCAAGTCAGACAACAGTTGCCATGGGATAATCGTCATCTCTAAGTTTAGAACAAACCGATCTCCTTTCCTTATGATCTCATCTCCTAAGTGCAACTTCTCGATTGGGGTTAGTTGAGGATCCTTAGATAGTACATCGACAACTGAGTCAGGGTTAGATTAGTTGAAGATCTTTAGATAACATCTCGACAACTGTGTTAGGTTAGTTGATGATCCTTAGATAGTATCTCGACAACTGGGTTAGGGTTAGATTAGCTGAGGATCTTTAGATAATATCTCGACAACTGTGTTAGATTAGTCGAGGATCCTTAAATAGTACCTCGACAACTGGGTTAGATTAGCTGAAGATCCTTAGATAGTATCTTGAAAACTGGGTTAGATTAGTTGAAGATCCTTAGATAGTACCTCGACAACTGGGTTTAAAGTAGGATTTCGAGGATTTGAGCTATATACTTAAATGCATCTTGTAGACCTCCTCTTCAAATGTTGCATACTTTGTCCTTCGGCTTCGTCTTTTTTTGCTACAAGTCGAGGAGGCTTTTCCCCCAAGATACTACATGCTACAAACTCGTCTCTTTTACCATCGAGTTATTTTTCCTCACTTCGTTACTCCAGATTCTTGATTTATAATTCTCAGTAGAGCACAATATTGATCTCCATAGACAACTTAACATCAAATTAGTTAAAACAAACTTTGGTGCTAAGTCCACCTACCCTCATATGCACAAGTGAATAATCGAGTTTTTTTATAATTGCATAACGTTGTTTGAGAATTCCTACTTTCTTTGAGAACTTTGTTGAATTGTCTAGTCGTCGTAATTACAGAACGATTATTACTCTATTTCTTTTGTATGAACGAGACTTTTTTGAACTTAAAAATTAAAATTTGAAACTACACAATGTCTACTATTTTGAATCATAAAAATTAAAAACAAATATACCCTAAAATGAAACTTTTATTAAAAATATATATTAATGTTCTAACCCACTGAAGCTTTCTTCATTAACCAAAAAGAAATGCAACTGAAAGAAAGACACAAGGCTACAAAGAAAAGGCAGGCCATTATTTCATTGCTCAAGCAATGACCTTACAATTTCTTCACTCATTTTCCTTGTGAATACAAAAAGATGCCCTGCACCAGATAACTCATGGTAGTGAATCCAAGGAAGTTTTTGAGTGATGTAACGTTGTAGCTTAACAGGCACGAGCTTGTCGTCGTCGCCTTGCCATAGATGGACGGATCCTTCATTCTTAGGAAATATGTTTTCAAGAAGCATTGGATCGAACTCCCATTTACCAAATCCGACCATCAGGTCACGGTGCAAGGATTCGAATTCTCCTTGTTGTCTCACGTATTTCTGAAGAGAAAAGGGGAAAAAAGATGCAGTTTTTACTCAAATATAAATGATTGTTTGTCCCTATTGATTCAGAGGGAAATTAAGTCATGAGGGGCCAATTGACATGAAACAAAGGGTACTAATGTTCCAAATTAGACACCTATGAGAGCATGGTGAATCATTCTGCCTCTGTATTAGAGAAGTAATTTTCGAGTAGGACAAGAATTCGCTGTCCTAAAGAAGGCACTCACCATGAATTGGCTCCGTGGTAAAAAATAGTTATGTACTTAGATATGTCTATTTCTTTGCACACACACCTTGTTCCTGATTTAGGCGGAGAATGGAGAAGAGGAGTGGTATGAGCTAAACGGAGATCGAGGACATGAGGACAAATAATGTATTCCTGTAACGTCCAAGATCCACCGCTAGCAGATATTGTCCTCTTTGGGCTTTTCCTTTCAGGCTTCCCCTCAAGGCTTTAAAACGCGTCTTGTGTCTACCCCCTTCGGGGCCCAGCGTCCTCGTGTCTATCCCTCTTCGGAGAACAGCGAAAAGGCTGGCACATTATCTGGTGTCTGGCTCTAATACCATTTATAAGGGTGTGGAAACCTTCCCCTAGGAGACGCATTTTAAAGCCTTGAGGGGAAGCCTGAAAGGGAAAGCCCAAGAAGACAATATCTGCTAGCGGTGGATCTGGGACGTTACAATTCCCCATCCCTATTCCTACCTAGAGAAATTTATCTTTAGACAAAGTTTTTTTTTGGTAGGAAATGAACTATTTAGTGAAAAGTTAACTATCCAATTGAAAAAAGACTTATTTGGACCAAATTAAATTAAAAAACAAACAAACAAGGAATAATTCCCCATGGGGAACCCGATCATCGTAAACTTTAACTGAAAATTTCACGAGAATGGAGATTAAACCAGAATCCCCGTTTCTTGTCTCGACCCTCCCTATGGAAATTCGTACATGTAAATAATAGAGGACTTGGAGAAAATAGGCTTAGGCTCAAACTATGACGGCCACCTAGTTAAGATTTAGTATGTATTGAGTTATGTTGACTACATAAATGTAGGAGGATCATAAAGTAGACTTATGTAGTCGTCCCTATCTACTATAGAAGACGTCTTGCTTTCAAGAACTGAAAAATAAACTAAGGGAAAGAGAGACTTATTACCTGGTCCACTGGCAAGCCTTCGCGACTGCGAATAATTTCGATATCTTGACTGGAAAGGATCTCAGGCCTACCGGCTAAAATGCTCACTTGAGGAAAGAATTTCTGAGTGTTCCACCAATAAGTTAGCCATGGAAGATGATGAGCAACCCTTAGTGCCCATTGATCTTGTGGTAGTTGGCTGGACAAACCTTCCTTTGATAAGTTTGCAGGAAAACTAGGCCACCAGTAGTTGATAGCTGGAGCGAGTAGAGACGCTCCCGCCAATCTGCAACATCGAAAGATTATTACATCTTTTTATAGCAGGCTGAATTGGTCAAAATATGCGGAATTTCTTACTTTTTGCGGAGGAGGATTAGGTCCATTAACAATAACCCCACCGATTAGCTATAATGCCTATAAAAATTATCGATAACTAGTGTAGCACTGTTGAATGATGAGTATATGCTAGAGCTTTCCATAGTTCGTGGATTGTGTTCAAATAATACAAGTAGCTATGACATAATGAGTTGCATACCATACCGATTGCGCTCTAGAAATCGTGTTGATTAGGCTTTAGCTTGAATGAAATATCCTAAACATGAATTTGCAGCTATGGGCTCCTTAGTACAAAATGCTTTATGTTGTAGCCCAAGAGACAAATATGGATGAATTCTAGACTTAATTAATGAGCAAAAGATGTGTAGTTCAGTAGTACCTGTGAGGGATATACTTGAGACAACCCCAAACTGCTTGGCCACCCATTGACAAGCCAATTACATAAAACTTAGGACCCAATCCTAGCTGATCACCAAGCTCTTCAACATCTAATGCTAAACTCTCTACCGTTCGCGTTGGATGCGGGTCGCTTTCTCCGTATCCAGGTCTGTCGAGAGAGACGACATAAACTCCGAGTTCTTCAAGGAACCCCTGAAAATTTATCACCAAAGAGAAGAGAAATTAACCATCTAACACAGTAAATAAAAAAGTACTGAATCCAAGTAGAGTAGTAGCTGAATACAGGAGAAGGATGAATTGCAACTGCTGCATCATGTCTGCAACTAGAAAAGCCATGGATATATATGATCTTGAATTTGGCTGCTGTTCTGGAGACACCATGTTCCTTGTAAGCCAAATGCCTTCCATCTCTAAGTTTTATTCTTGGACCAGTTATTGGCGGACCACCGACTGAACCACATATTTTAGGAGCTGGAGGGCGAATGGCTGAAAATGCCCAGGCTGACAACCCAATTAAAATGACACCTAAAACTCTTTGGAACATCCCTGAGAATAAGAATAATGCTAACAAGTAAATCCCAATGAGTTGGTTTGATCGAGAAAGAAGAGATCGATCCTTGAACTTGTGTTTGTTCGGTTCTAGTACCAAGAACCTTCGATCTTGTGCCTAATAAGTTCCTATCATTAACCCCATTAGATCGATGTTTCAAAGGAATGATGGCTAGATTATATAAAGATCCTATGAAACATTTGATTTGGGGTAGGTTGAAGTCTTCGTGATGTAATCATCAACTAACGAGTTAACACGGATATATCTATTAGACACAAAATCGAAAGTTTAGAACCTACGACCTTGTTTAAATACAATCATGATCTATTTGAAACGTTTTACCACACAAAAGATTCAAAAGGATCTTAGAAAACTTATAATTAAACCTACAAAACATGAAGAATCAGCCAGAATTTGTTCGAGAAGGGAGAAATCCCAGAGAACAGGACTGGAATTCTTCTATTACATTACAGAAACATTCATCGAATCTTCTTTATGAGCTTAGCAACATGTATCTGAGGTGAGGGATTCAAACCTCTCACCCTAAACTGTCGCGTCAACATTCATATCATCAAGCATCATCATCAAACACTGAAACATAAATATAAGGAAGGCACAAGTATCTCGACAGAAAAGACTCGAAAGAAAATCAAAACGAACAAAAAAAGCTCATCGGATAATCCATACTCCATAGAAGAGAAGATCAACCTTCCATCTTCTTTATGAGCTTAGCAACATTACAGAAACATTCATCTCATCTTCTTTATGAGCTTAGCAATATGTATATGAGGTGAGGGATTCAAACCTCTCACACTAAACTGTCGAACTATGCTGCATCAACATTCATATCATCAAGCATCATCAAGCAAACACTGAAGCATAATTTTAAGGAAGGCACAAGTATCTCGACAGAAAAAACTCAAAAGAAAATCAAAACGAACAAAAAAAGTTCATCGGATAATCCAGACTCCATAGAAGAGATGATCAATCTTCCATCTCCGTTCAGAACTATATTGCAGAATATTAGCCTAAACAGAAATTTTCCGAATGCGAAAATGAGTAGAAATTGTATCATTCCACAAGAACACACAGAAAAAGATAGAAAGCAAGAGAAAAAGGGAGAGCGACCTTAGTGTTCAGAGCTTCAAATTCGAAGCAATCGGATGATTCTGCCTCCCTTCCTTTCTCTTCTTTCTTACCTTTTATAAACAAAGAGCAGAGTTGCCACGTCATATGAACATTTAAATTGACAGGGAAAAGGGTATCAACTTTAGAAATTATTCCATAAAAAAGCAAAATATATATATATATATATATATATATATTTTGAAATTGTTCGATTTTGTTTATTAAAAAATTAAATACATAATTTGATTATATTATTTTGTGTATTAAACAAATATTTCCATTTTACGATATATAAAATGTTAAGGTGACTGTACCAATCACCGGTAGGAAATGAATCTTCAGTAGTAGAAAGTATAATAAGTCGAGTCATTATTTCTAATTAGCGGTCATTCTATTTGACTAGAAAGGTCGAGACGTTACACAACTCATTCACCATAATTTAGTAGATAAACACATTATTGTCTTTTTATTAATTTTTTTTCTAGTGATATGATGTTGTCATGGACGCATGTACCCTTAGTTATTAGGAAACGTGTTAGAAAAATTATTATGTTGCCTATTGTTTCGTCTCACATTTTTTTTTCTTCCAAAATGATCGAACAATTCCTCACATATAGTATGTGTTTGTCAATGATGAACCCTTAAATAATTCTCGTTTTTTAGTGTTTTTAATAACAATTATATTTTTGAAGTTATTATATTAATTACAAATTCTTTTTTCTTACTAAATTGGCTACCAATCAATTTAAAGTCATTTATTATATCTGAAGTGTTTCTTCAAAATAGATTTTAGATAGTATTGATTTATAAAAAAAAAAAACAGTTTAGATATGATTTATACGAAAAAAAAGTTATCATTTATCAAGATTAGACTTTTAAAAATTAAAGTCCTTTTCTTGCTTTATTATCTACTTTTAAAAAATTGATTATTTTTTTTTCAAAATTTAGCTCAACTTAGAAAAAAAAAACATAAATTTCAAAAATTTCAAAAAAAAAATATATATATATATATTAATAATTAAACCATTAATACAAAAATGAAATAGACGGAGAGTTCATTAAAACGCCTCAATAAACTATACTTTTAAACTAATAATTTTATCAAGTTGGCTCGTAAAAAAGTGACTTTAATAGTGTATTAATTTCGGGAGATGTCCCTAACACCCTATAAAATAACCATACATAACGCTATAATTTCCTATTACACATTATTTACTCACTCAAAAAGTCATTACACCTATAACACTCAGGAACTTTAAAGGAATTAGTAGGGGAATAAATGTGCAATAACACATATCTAACAAACAAACTCCTTGTATCAATCAGGTTACCTTCATATTATTTGATGAGTCGTTCGAACGAAACCAGAAGTTAACGAGGAAGGAGTCAATGATAATCTACAAATAGCATACTTTCATGTCAATTGAACTGATAAGGGAACTATGATGAGATAATTGAAGGGGCAAGTCTAAGAAACCTGGATTATATGTGCTGCCACGCATGGAAGAACCAGCAAACCCGATACGCCAAGCGCGCCGTGGAGCTGTTCTACGACTGCCACCATCACAGGCAGAGTTTTCTGCAAAAAATGTGGGTGTTTGAGCTCTATGATATTGTATATCATTCATGAATGAACAAGTGTTTGATGTGCATTAGATATGTTCTTAATTTGTTCGATTAAGACTAACAAGTCTAGTGATATTTGACAAGTGTTCAACATATATTTAGGAGCGTCTAGAACATGTTGAACATATTATCTAAGCTAAAGTGTTCGAGCTATAGATCTCCACAACCATGCACACAAAAAGGTACTCGTGTTGTTTGGACCCGTTCGGTAATCATTTGGACTTTGAATTTTGGTTTTTGAAAATTAAGTTGGTAAACACTACTTCAACAACTTCCATATATATAGGTTTCTTTGTTTTGTTATCTACGTACCTGACTTGCCACAAGCACAACGGCACTGACATTTCGTCTCCTCGAGAAAACAGATTCGTCGCCACCAGAAACGGCTGCTAGGATTCGTACACCAAGAGCATTAAACGCTAATAAGGCGAGATGCAAGAATCTGAAAATACAACAGCGTGTTAGTCTTTAGCAGCATCAATCTAAAAGATAATGGTGATTGATCAGTGATTCAAAGCTTTATTAGGCAAGGATAAGGAAACTAGGAAGGGTTTCTGGTAAGCATACGTTCCCATTCCTATGGCTACAAGAAATACTTCAGGCTTGACCATCAGAAGTAGCGACCTTGATCTGCTCACTTGCATCCATGGCACCTAATCTTAAAATGTTATAATCTGATTAAAGAGCATAAATTAACGATTTCATAAAATAAAAATATTAACGCTCTTCTATCGAACCGCTTGTCCAAGTAGAACCTAAGAATTATTTGTTAACAAATAATTGCTTAGTATAATGGGTAGACATGTAAAGAATCAGAAATTACTATTGAACATCTTATATTTATATACAGAAAAATATAGTATTAGGGAGAAAACAGTACACGAGCAATCATGAAAGGAAACAACAATAGTGATGATGATAATGAATTAGTGTCTCACAAGACTGAGAAGAATTGCATTGATCCTTGGAAAAAGTTTACGATTTCCATCAACAAAGTCCGCCACTCCTAAAAGATTAAGAAGAGAAACAATAACTTAGCAGGAGCTTAAAGAAAATTTTGTCTTATAAAATCATGAGCATTCTGCGGTTAAACACTAAAGATGATGGGCAACCATTGTAAACAGTTTCTGCTAAATGAAGTCCGTGCACTTCATGAAAGCTAGCAAAGAAGCAAACTTGAACTCAAGAAAGTGAATGATACTGACAAGAAATCACCTTTGAATGACTCTCTCAAGATCTGTCGAAGGAAAAAGAAAAGACAGAAGGAACAAATAAATAATAGAACTATTTGATAGCAAAGAGGACAAAAAAGTGACATAAACATATTTCAAAAACTAGCTATACTCAAGGTCTATTTCATGGTAAACCAAAGAATTTTTTTGCAATATGACAACTTAAAGTAAAGCTTTTTGGAAAAAGAAACCAGAAGTGGAAGGTAAGGAGAAAATAGGAACATCGTCTTTAAAACTGGTTTTATTATTTTTTTTTTTAATAAAAAAAACCAATATAATGCCCCTTAAAGGATAATAAGTAACTAAATTGTAAGTGACTCCTTTACATGACAAAGCCCAAGTTGATAATCTAGAGTTTGCTTGTGCAATTGGAGGTTGAAGCCTCGTGCAATTACATTAGCCTAAGATGAAATTTTCTTGTCAAGACAAATAAGTCGCAGTAACTTATGTATATAAAAATTTATATTCATGGTTAGAAAGCTCAGTAAATTACATCAACTTTATCACAATCTGCTACACACGCATCCCGACCATCCATTTATTAACAATAATAGCTTGTAACTCTAAAAAGAGATATAATGTGCTTTTAGACAAACTTCTTAGAATAGATTCTCCAAAGAAAATAGAGAGCACGAGTTTAAGCCATGGTGGTTATCTACCTAGTATTTAATATCCTAGGAGTTACCTTGCAAATTAGTAAGGTCAAACAGTTGTCTCGTAAGAATAGTTGAGGTGCAAACATGTTAGCCCAGATAGTCACATATATTAAAAAAAAAAAGAAAAAAAACAAAAACAAAGATTCTAAAAGAAAAAATAGCAGTTCACCTTCCCAAAAATGAGAGGAATTAGCAGCATAAGAACAAGACTTCTGAGTAACTCCTTCGTTGGCACAGTGATACCAACTCCATCAGCTATAAATTTCGAGATGGAAAATGGAATCTAGAATGCCAAAAAAAAAAAAAAAAATAGCATATGAAAGTCATGATGGCAGTAATGTAACAATTAAGCAGATGAACAGATTATCTTTATGTCGCGGAATAAAAGAGAAAAACACCAGAAAATACGTGTCAACTCCCTCCGGCTTATGTACCCTTTTCATGTGTGTAAGAATGTCGTGAAAGTAGCTCTATGGGAAAGGAAAGGAAAGGAAAAAAAAAAGGTGGCTGGAAAAAAATGGTAGAGGGGATTTTTGGATGTATGGGAGTCTACTATTTCTTATAAAATAAGAATAATAAAAATAATAATAGTAATAAAGCATTGGCTTTTCTGTTGGCTAGAGTCCTTAAATAGAACCGATTCAAATACTAGACATATGGTAAATGATCTCTTCACAAAGGGTGATTTGGCTGAATTCTGCGAAATCAAATCTTGACTCCCCTTACAACCTAATCCTGTGTACAGAAGCATGCGTGGAGCAATCCTAAACATTTAAGAAATGATTATGAGAGACCTCCATTCACAGGGACGGTATGATTTTAAA